CACAATTAGTTTCTCTTACTAGAACATGGTGGATCCGATATTCTTCCCTATCTAAACTGAAGCCTGATTGCAAATCAAATTTAAGATTGACATAATAATGCTTCTAATTTGTTTAATGTTTAAATGCCATGTAAATGTATTCTTCTCCTTCTTCAATTTCTTTTTTCCAATCTTGTTGCATAATGAAATATTCCAAATCCCCATTGGAATTATAAGTGTTCATTTGCAAACTGAAATGATGCTTGGCATTGATGATCATCAGGAAATTCTTCTCAGTTATTGCTAGTCGAAGCGAGATGTGAAAAAAATCAGCATATTTGATATTGTATCTCCCCTTATCTTTGTATCACGTAGATGTTAGGTTGTTTGATTTCTAATATTTTGTTGTTTTTCTCAATAAGTTATAAACATCTTTTAACTATTTTGAGTGTTCTGAAAGTTCGGGGTCTGAGGGAATATTTATTAGGCTTGAAGATTTGGGTTGGTAAGTATGAATATGTCCCTTCAGTTCCAAGAAGGTTTGACTCTAACTGGAATCAAAATGCTATTTAAGAAACATACAGATAACGTTGCTAAAGGGCCCAAAACTAACTTGTAGATCTGAATTTGGTTTTCTTTCTGTTTCTTGATTTGTAGCTCCTTGTTTGATATTAAAGGCTGCTGTGGGAGTTTAAGTCAAATTACATTTACACTCAAGACAGTTGATGTGTGTTGGTTGAGGTGGGGTGGGATGGGATGGCGGCCTTTGTTTGGTAGTTAAGTTGTCTCCTTTTCATACTTCTTCTCTAGTGTTTTGTTCTTACATGTAGCGTTGGACCTGTAGATGAGGCAGCAAGGTGAGGCATAAATCTCATCACAAACCAGTAGAATAATTCTAGAATAAAAAGGTGAAAAAAAAATATTACTAATAAACTACTACTAGGACCGTTGAGATAATCGTCAGCACATTTGTTTCCTGTGTTATCCTTCTCATCACCAAGAGTCTTTCCTTTCTTTTTTATCGTCTCTTAATTGTCACAGTGCCTTCCCTTTCCTTTTCACATTCCTTATAAAGGTACAAAGAACAAAATTTCCACACAAAGGTACATAAGAGATTAAAAATATGAAGATAACAAGACAAATATAGAAGGAAAGAATGAAGATACGTGTTGTAGGTCTCCTGTTATCAGTCGTCTATTGTTGAAAAGCTGCAACTTCATTTTGGATAGAGGTTTAACTTAGTTTAGTTTTAGGAGGCTAGGGAATGCTCAGTGGCAGAGGGAGGTGGGGGACCAGTGGGGTACCTGGCACCACTGAAACTTGAGAATTTTTGTATATACGAGTTTTTATTGTTTTTACTTTTTATTATTGATGTTATAATATATTGCGTTTAAGATTAGTTTCCATTGTCATATTAGGCACCCACTTAATAAAAGTCATGGCTCCACCATTGAGCCCTTCCATGGTATATTGGTTCGAAGATATAAATAAATTGCTAAGCCCCTCTGGGATGTAAAATATATCTCCTCATCATCCCCATAGTGTATGAGACAAATGTATATTTTTTTTTCAAAAAAAAATATTTTTTATCTTTTAGAATTAGGTTGTTTGAAATAGCATCAAGTAACTATTAATTCCTGGAATGCTGCTGATCAACGTAACCGCTGTAATTATCTTGGGAGTCATTTGTTCTGCGCTTATGATTTCCATTGGTTGCAGTAATCAGTGTTTCTAAATAGATTTTACAGAACCCTTTGTGGTAGCTATGAACTGGTTATGATGCGATTGTTTTAGCCGATTGAGTTCTAACGTCCTCTTTATTTGGGCAGGGTATAGCGGAGAATGTTCTCTATGTATGTATCAAATTGAACGCAAGGGATGCAAGACGACTTCAATTCCAATTTGTCAATTTTGAACATCTTTATTGTCATGTCAAGACTTTTTTTCTTGGAATGTAGATACTTTGTACAAGTGC